AGGATCAAAGCTGGTTTCTAGCACACTTCAGAGTAGTGTTTGAGCAGAGAGAATTTGTTAACTGAACCCAACCTTTTTCAGATCTCTGTGGAAAAAAAGCCTCGTGTATGTTGATTTCTATGAATGTACATGTACACAAACACACAAAAGTGAAGCAGTTCATGCTGTAAAGAAAAACCAGGATACAAGGAAGCAAGGAGCTGGCAAATGATGAACAAGTACATCATTTCATCTTTTCTAGCAATTTAGAGCACATACTCTCCTAATTCATCCTGTCTTTTCACAGAAAACAAGACACACCCCCAACAGCTCAACTTCCTGTGAGTAGCTGATGTTTTAACACATTTGAAGTGAAGCCCTTAATAAAATCCTGGTTCTGTTGAAGTTGATTTGACAGTTATCGTGGACTTGAATAAAACCAGACACCCCTATTATTCCAAAAACAGAGCTACCTTCTCTTTGACCTTCAAGGTCTACCTGAGATAAGCCGGCAGCAATGAGGCTGTATTGAAGATGAATTGCTCATGATGTTCTTTAAACAAGCACAGCAGTGCACGTGGAAAAGGCTGTCAGCAGGCTGGTTATCACCACTTGTCACTGTCACAGAGGTTTTGCATTGCTGTTTAGTCACGGAGTCAGTTAACTGCTGCTGAAAGATGAAGGGTTGGATATAAATGATGTAAATGTTCATGAATAGATGCATTGTACCGTGATACTGTCTGCCACTCAAATTCACAGAGTGTAGAAAATGTTATTCCTTGCTAGACGAGCTTGGTTCCAGCAGTTTGAGGGGATTTCTCATTGTTAAATGCTAATGAATCCTAACAGATAAGATGAAGTGCGAAGATTTTACCTGAGGAGAAAGTAGCAAACATGGGCAGGGATGAACTTTGAGAGAGGACAATCACACTACAGGCAAAGGAGATCTGGAAAGCCATAGAATTGAAGGCAGAATTCCCTTAGGCTTTAATGTAACCAGGGTTTCACTCTTGATTCCTAACCTGGACACTGGTTCCTTCCATGTTTTCACACATATTCTCTCCTCCCTTGCCTCACCTTTCAGCAGTGGTATTTGCACATCTTGGAAACAGAACAGCTGCTTCCGTTCCACGGATGAAGGATTTGGCTTCTCATGAAACCACAAGCAATGCCATAAAATAGGGTTTTTGTAATGTGAAAAAGCAAATAAATAGTAAGTCAGTGATCTGAGTCAGACTATCACCTCAGCATGGACAATAACTGCACCTAGTGTGTTTCTTTGCAACCAGAATGGCAGAAAGACTTCATCTTCCAAAAGGGATTTTTCTCCATAGTTCAGACATTTAAAGGGTGTCTTTAGGCTGAAAGCATATTGTTTCCTTTCTCAGACTGTTGGAAAGGTTTCTTTCCTTTAGCTTTACTTTTAAACAAAGGAATTCAGGACCATAATTTTTAAATTATGTGTTCATACAACAGAGGCCATTTGTTCTGTTTTATTAAAGAAGCACGTAGCACTTACCCTTTTCCACAGTATTTCTTGTGGACCAAAAGAATCAGAAGACAATTTTGGAAAGCTGGAAGTGCTTTGCAGCTGGGGGGGTGTAAACTAAGAACTTCTGATAATTCTGCCCCAAATTCCACTTGCTGAAAGATCTTTTTGTAGAAAAACTTTTAAATCAACTTTTCTCTTCTTTTCTTTGTTGTCTATACACATCTCTACCAAGCCGTTTTGGCTTGATAAATTGCCTTGACATCGTTTGTTAAATTGACTTTAACTGTTTTGATCAAGACTTGGCTTAGGTGTAGAATCTAGCCCATTTCCTGTTAAAATATCAGCCTTACAGAATTTATAAAAATTGTCTTTATTCAGTAATTATATTACATCACGTTTTTATAGGGAATTTATCTTTTAAATTCTAAAGCATTTTATCTGCTGAGTCATCATTGCAGAATTGGCCGAAGCTGAACAGATTTCCTCCACTGGCATGAATGATGGTATAAGAATCAGACAAGGAATGGCAATGGACAGGTGGGAATATTCTTGTATTCCTACTCGAATATTATCACTAATCTCCAGCTTTTGACTCATGGGTCCTCGTGTCCTCCCACAAAAAGAAAAAATAAACACAGGTTCATTACTTTTTACTTTAATCATTATTTCCAAACTATTTAGAATATATTTAAGAAACAGAGAAAATGCTCTCAATTCTCTTTATTTTTGTTATTTAAAACAAACAAACAAACCAGAAAATACTGAGGAAAATAGTCCTTTGTATGTCAGAGAATGCCAGCAAGTTTAAAGGCAGAGAAAAGGAACATTAGATTTCATAAATGGTTCCTGTAAATGTACCTTTGCCATCCCAGTGATTGTAATTTGATTTTTCCTGTTGACTGCCTCGTTGCTGTTGTGAGAGGAGTATGAGGTGCCTAATGCAATCATAACTTGCCATCTCGTGGCTTATTTGGGAATTACCACAGTTAAATTTCTTAACAATCATTTAAGGATTACATTCATTCCTTTAGGAGAGGATTCCTGTTTGCCCCTTCATCACCCCTGACATGGAAAGACTGGATACCTTCACTAAGGGTTGAGACCCTGGAGGGTCCCAAGGCTGGACCAAGCTGGAGGAGCAGATAATGGGCTGCCCACGTGGACATGGAAAAGGAATACAAGGAGGTGTTAGAAGACCCCAGACCACAAAAACAGCCATTGGACCAAAAGGAGGGAGGGCATATGAAGAGTGTGAGATGATCAGACTGTTACTCTGGAGATGGCTCTGGCTGGCCTGACATACAGCAGAAGCCCCTGAGCTGCCCCCCAGCCTGCACAGAGCCATCCCAGCAGGGAGCTGGGCCAGCAGCTGGCACTGCCCAGGCAGGGAACACCAGGACACCTGTCAGGCATGGGGTGAACACAGGCCATGTATCCCTGGAGACGGCTGAGGAGGCAGCTGAACTCTGCCACTAATGTCACTGCCATCCTCTCCAGGCGCCCTGCACAGCTCACCCTGTGCATGACAACACGGATAATTCTGTTGGAGACAATTATTCTGTGGGTTTAGTACTGTGGCAGAAAGGGGTGTTTTAGGCCTGACACTGTGCCCTCTCCCAGTGTGTTTTTAGCATGATCATTACACGTCTGGCTGCTTACAAATTCAGTGAAAAGCCTGTTTTGTCTTCTGCTGCGTGCAAAGTCACCCAGCCCTGCAGGGGAATCAAACTAGGAAAAAAGTGTAGTTTTTATCACTTAAGCCCTCAATTTTAATTTAAGGAGTGCTTAAAAAATTGTAAGGTACAGATTGTTGAAAAATATCTCTTCAGAGAACAGAATCAGGGTGTGCTCTGAACAGCTGAACCCTCAGCTGTTCCTTGAGGACTGAACTGCTCCGGCCCTTTACAACCTGGTTGAACAAGTGCTCAGGTTTTCCCAATGAGTCTACCAACTTTTGGCCATATTTATAGTCAAGAGGCAACTGCAACCAGGGATACTGCCATTTGTGACTGTGTTTCTTGTCATCTTCCATGACACACAGATTGTTTGCATGCAGGGGTGAGATCTCCTCCAGAGTTCATTAACCTGGCAGTCGGGCTGCCTTTGTTTTGTTTTGAGCACACTTGGAGCCAGGACGACTCTGATAATTTTGCCAATAATGTTCAAAGCAAAAGAGATTACAGCAAAGATTTTAGAAAATATGTATTGAACACCTGACAGTGCTTTGGAGCCAGCTTTGCAAGCAGCAAAGTGCCTGCATGGCCAGGCCAGTGCCCCACTGGTGGCAGTGCCTGTTTGTGGGCACTGATGGGGACCACGGCTTCCCCCAAAGCACTAACCCATGCAGCTGCACATACTGTGCCCTGCAGTGTCACTCTTGAAAGGCTGAACTTGCACCAAAAGCCTGTTGAAGGAAGGGAAATAACTGGAGGTGACATTTGACAAGTTAGTTTTTATTCAGTGCACTGGACTCGTACATCACTGCTTTGTCAACTAACAACATTTCACACATTCCTGTAAAACCAATGCCAAGTCCAGTCTCTTGTTAAAGATGCTCGGTGTAAAATATAATGCAGTCTATCAAATATTTCCTTTCACAAGTACAGCTTAGAGCCCAGTAGCAGGCTGTGTCCAGAGCTTTCAGTGCTGGGTTCCAGCAGTGGGTGGAGAATGGATCAGTTACTCAGGGTTGGTGCAGGGCTCTGTTAACAAGTGTCTAAACCCAGTTCATTAACATCTCAGAGTTCATCAGAGTGCTGCTGCTCGTTTGATTATGCCAGTGCTTTGAGCATGGGTGGAGCTGCAACTACAAAAACCCTAATGCAGAATGACTGCAGCGCTGGAAAACCTAATGTAGGCTGGGGCAGTCTGTCTGTGCTCTGTACTGAGGACAGTCACTCCAGCAGCAGGCACGGCACACCTCACCCCGTCCCCACAACTGGGCCAGCAGCAGCAGTCAGAGCAGCACAGCAACCCACAGAGAAATGCAAGGTGCTCAGGCCTGACTGTCAGGGTGAAGCGAGATGTTTTCAGGGTGGAGGGTCTTACACTGCAAACACTGGGCAGGGATGCCTGCAAGCACAACAAACTGGGCAGTTGGGTGGATGCTGGGGATTGCAGGCAGCTGGAGCATCCCCACTGGTGCCACTGCTGGGCCACATCCCTCAGATCCACACATGCTCTGCTCCCTGTCTCCCATGTGGGCAGGCACAGCATCCTCAACCCTGTCCCACCCATGGGACAACACAGGGAAGGCTCCATGGCTATGGCCTGGAACTGGCACCCCCTCCCAATTGCACGAGTCACCCTGGTCAGCACAGGGTGCCCTGGCAGGAGGACAGGGATGGTGCCAGCTCTATGGCTCCCCAGCAGAGCTCTCCCAGCAAATCCATCTCTGCTCATACACCTCCATCACCCCACTCGTGTCCCACCTGCCCTGTGCTCCGGCCCCAACTCTCATCCTGCCTTGTCCCTGCCCTCCATCGCTCATTCACTGTGGGTGTAAGGAAGGAGACAGCACATTGCCAAATCAGCTATCTCAAAGGGAATCTAGCAACTTTTATTGAGCCCCTGCCAGGGCCTGGACTGTTGGGGGCAGTCCCTGTGGCGAGCACGCTGTCCTAGGGCATGGTGACCGTCCGTCCGGCGCTCCTGGCTGCTGTAAAGCGCCTCTTATTCCTCAGACCAGAGAACCTCTCATCCAGCGTCAGGCTGGTCTGCAGGGGAAAGGGAGAGCGAGTCAGTCCCACGTCTGGTGGCAAAGCACAGCCCAACTTGTAGCGGGGTATTGATTAGAGCCCATCAGTCAGGATGGTGTTTCACAGCTGGTTAGTCAATTAAACCACGCAGCACACAGAGACAAGGAGCTCAACAGACTGTGTGCAGCTGGAAAACCTCCAAGCAGCTCCCAGCCCCAAGACACCGGGCGTCCTCGGCCAGAACAGGAGCAAGCAGATGGCATTGGAGCACAGGGCATCAGGGAAAACCAAACTGTCCAGACAAGAAACGCCGGCAATGAAGAAGGTGGAGCAGGATTTCTCAGCTGCCCCAGGGCTCTTGGACCATACTTCAGTGTGAAATGGGGCACCGAGAAGGTCACCAAAGCAAAGAGCGAGCAAAGCCCAGAAGTGCCACGTGTCTCTGAGGAATGGGGAGCACCGACACTGAAACAGTCCCCCCTGGCCAGGATCACCCACCAGCAGGATCTCCCCGCTCTGAGCAAGCACACGGACAGGCCTTGCAAGACAGGCCAACAGAATGGGAAAAATTGGGCTGAGTCTGTAGTTGCTCAACAGTCTTCTCAAGTGCCTTCAGTTTTGCCAACAACCTGGCCAACATGGCTACAGGACTCTCCTCCTGGGCCATGTTAGACAAACCCAGCTGGCAGCCCCAGAAACCTGAGCGTGGTGTTAACAGCTTAGTGGCAGGGCTGCTGCAGGGCGCCAGGTGCCGCCTGTGCCGTCGACAATCCTCTACCTGGTTGGCCATGGCACGGAAGTTGAATCTCAGCATCACCCCCTTGGGCTGGGGCTTGGTCACCCGTGCTGGGGGTCTCTGGCTTCGCAGGAACGGGCGCTTGGATCCAGGCCTGGGGAAAGCACAGATCCGCAGTCACTCAGGAAGTGAAGGCAGCTCGCTCCCTCTGCTCTGCAAACCAGCACGGAGTGAAGGAGACACCTGCATGCCCCATACATGGTCCCACGGCATGTCTGACCCCTGGCAGAGTCAAAAGGCTGCCAGGAGAGCTGCTGTGCAGGCAGAGCTCCAGCACTGGGGACCGTGTCACATCCAGGCTATCGTGGGGCGCTCTCTGTGCTCAGGACAGTGCATTCACCCACCCTTCTCTCTGCCCCCAGCTGGGTGCTGGGTCCTGCAGCTGCACCAGCTCAGCCCTGAATCTGTTCCCTTCCAGCTTCTGTGCTCCTTTAACACAGCATTTCCCTGACACCCCACAAGGAGCACAGCCAGCCTGACACCTCCCATGTGCTCCAGTGCTTCCATTTCTCCTCACTCTGCATAACAAAGGAGAGGCGTGGTAATTACAGATTACCGTGTAATTACAGGTAAATACAGGAGATCTTTATCTCCTTCAGATATGCCAGGAAGGGAACCAGACATCATTTGCTAACCATTTTGGGTTTGAACCATTATACACTCGTTATAGAAGTGAAGCTGCAATAAACCTAAGGGGAATTTGCAATGGCTTTTGTAGGGCTCCCACCCTAACAAATCACCTCATTTACTTACCCGCTGCTCTGGCCCGCCTGGGGATTAACCACAGAAACCGTCAGAATTGCTCCCGGGCTGGGTTTCACTTGCCACCTGCCGAGACAGGGAGATTTATCCAGCTTCAACCCTGAAAGAGCACGTCGCGTTTGCATTGTGCCTTTGTTCACCAATTACCTTCTCATCCTTGGCGGTTTCCCTTCTCCTTGAGCATCCATCTGCTGTGAAATATATTTTTAAAAAAATTACTTAGAGAATTAGCTCTCAGAAACAATGACTTCTTTTCCAGGATTTCATTTGCTGTATCTGAAGAGCTCCTTCCTTGCAAGTTGTCAAGAAACTTGCTAATTTGGGGTTTCCTGCTGTCACAGTGATCTGTACAGGGTGGCTTTACTTTGCCCTGTTTGTGTTGCTCTATAAACCACAAGGTTTCTTTTTTATCACCCTCCCAGGATTTTACTTTCCAGCTGCCAGAATATTAATCTGCGTTAAAAATCGCCTGTCCTGCAAATACTTTCCTAGCAATACATGCAATTTAAGCGATCCATCTCTCTTTACTTTTGGAAGCAAAGATACAGCTGGGCTGGTAGAACTGAAGGTTTGTCACTCCCAGCAGGCTGCAGAAGAAATGTCTGGATACTGACCCCTCTCTGGAAGCGGGCTTTGGAGAACCACTGCTGCGCCCGCTTCTGCTGGAACGCTGGTCCCCTGTTTAGCCGGAAAGGCCTGATGGTAAAGCAGAGACAAAAGGACAGAGGTGAAGATGATGCCAGGCCTCTCCTAAAGTTTAATGCCAAAATACCTAACCCAAGCTGGTCTTAAAAAGCAGCATAAGAAGCAAGTCAGGCTGTGTGTTACCCAGTTCAGCCCAACGGGCTTTTCTGCCAGCGAAGGATTTCAGAGGAACTTGATTTTCTGCTCAAATGAGACAACAGCTTGTGTGTTCTGAACTCTGCCCATTAAAAATAAAATAAAAAAACATGGAAGAAAATAGTAGAAAAAAATCAGGTCAGAAGGAACCTCTGGATGTCCTTCAGTTCCTACTCTGCTCAGAGCAGAGAAAGACAGGATTGCAAGGAGCTTCCTTTCCAGCTTGGAGAATACAAGGATCCTGATGAGACAGGCACCAAGGCAGTGCCCACCTTCCTTGCAGCTCCTGGGCAGTCTGCTCCTGCAGCCCTTCACTGGGACAGACGTCCTCTCTCTGCCTATCCCTTATGACTGGAATCTGTATTTCCTACCTTTATGAAAATAAAAGCTATTTCACCCTTCAAAAGTGTTCCCCAAAGTGATAGAGGAAAAGTTCAATAAAAATACTAAGGTCTCATTTTCCGTGCTTCCTAGAATGAAATGACAGATCTGATATCTGCATTATTAGCTATGAACTGTTAACTTTTTTTACTGTTTTCTTTCCAGGTGCTTTCCAGGGGTATTTTTCTCATGCTGCACAAGCACATGGCTGTAGCCACTCCCAGCTCACACACACAGCAAGAGCAGAACCCTATGAGCTGCAGGGGGAATTGCTAAAAAGGAAACAAACCCAGTGTTACCAAAGATTTTTACCTTTTCCCTGGGGTCTGGGTGCTGGCAGCATCTGCTCTGAATCTCTTGGGGCCTGGAGATGGCTGTGCCTGGTCCTTCTGCTGCCTGCTGCTGCTTTTGGCAAAAGCATTGCTGTTCTTGTTGCCCTGAAAGATTGGTGAGAGCTCAGCAGTTGCCACCCGTGCCACAGTTTCACTACATGAACAGGGAGTGAGGGCAAGTGACAGTCCCCAACTGTCCTCTCTCCACAGACTGCTGCTGCCTGACTCAGCACACTCAGTCTGTGTGCCTTGTTCCTGGGCATGAAAGTCCCAGGAAGAGTGTTTCCTTCTAATGGCGCAGAAATTAAAAAAAAAAAACACCAAAAAAATCAGTCCATGGAGAGCAAATCTCACAGAGCTGAGCATTAGAGCCGTGCTCAGGTTTCCTTTTGGTCATCACCTCTTTCTTGTTTAGGCCAAGCCCTGAAGCATGAGGCACATCAGAAGACCCCTCAGCAGTGTCTGTCCTCCTGCACTTCCAACACAGACTGCCCTAGACTGCCCATTTATTTCTCTGGAACAACCACCATCACTCTTACTATCTGCTCAGTTGTGATTCCATATTCTTCCCCCTTGGTTTATTTCTGCAAAGTGGAAGCTACTGTAGAATTATGCCTCCTAGCAACTGCTTATTACTTTCTGTAAATACCCAGCCATGCTCAATATCTGAGTCATCCTGGTCTTTACTTTCAGGAATAACCACACTCCTCACACATGCCTGCTTAGTTAGGGCTCTCTCATTTATACCCCCAGGACACAGTCACTAAATGTGCTGTCATGTTCAGCACTTGGGTTTTTTGAAAAGCTTCCTGAGCACCCATGACCTGCTAACGGAGTGGACTTCCAACAGTGCAGAAGAAACCAATTGCCTCTCAGGAGGCCTATCTGCCACAGGAATCATTGTGTCTTGTGAGGATTGCCCACTTGCTAATGGAAAGTGTGTCTCTGAACCAAAGTCACCTGACAGGTGACCAACAGTCTTTCCTTTTACTTCACAGGAGCTTGGAAAATGCTCTGGGTGGAGAAAAAATAACGGATCTTAATACACCTCCTTTAAACAATAACAGTAAGACGAGATCCCGTGGAATTCATTTTTAGGGAAATATTTTTAAATCTTTTAAGGACACTTTCAAAGAAAAACCTTTTTTTTGCAAAACCCAGGGGAACTGATCAGTAAAATTATGCCAAGTCAGAAGCTTATAAAACCAACTGGAAGATTGCTATTCCTGTTCCATATGCATGTCTGTCTGCACTCATCTATGCATACAAATGCTGTGCACAGGCATCTAAAAGATGGTGCCTGTACCTTTTTATGTAAATTGTTCTTTGGGGTGATCCAGGTTCATAAAATCAAGCACATTTCTACATGACATTTGGGAAAAGCTGTCCCCTCCTTATTCCCCTACCTCCTGAGCTGATGCCTGGCGATTTAAAGGGCTCACTCCATTGAAGGCAGCAGCTGCTCTTCTCTTGCGACCAGGCAAAGTATTCCTGAATTGTCTCCTATTGTATTGTTGCTGTCCAAACCCTCTTCTGAAACGGTTAGGTCCTACAAAAAAACAAACAAACAAAAACCCTCTTATTTTAGTGTCTTTCAAAATTTGATTTATGATAACAGTTTTGCAAATGGATTACAAGGTTAACTTAACACGACACAGGGGTATTTATACAAATAGTGGTGCAAGAATCACATTAATTCATTCCAAAAAGTATTAAAGAATTAATCTTTCCAATGTCTCACTAACATTCTTATTCTGTGTAGGACTGACATACACATTATTTGATGTGAAAGAACAGAGAAGACAAGAGAAGAGAAAAGCTTTCCACAACTTTGATTCTTCATAAAGGCAGGAACACCCACATCAGGAGACCTGTCAATCTGTTGTCAGAGCTCACTTTGCTGTGAATTAACTACGAAACAGAAAAGGCCTTTTGATACAGATACACAAGTGACTCAAGCATCCGGGAGCCAACCCCACAGCAGCCTGGAATAGCTCTGAGTGCCCACACTATAGCACCTGGTAAGTGAAGACTGAACCGTGATTTTTATGCATATATATATTTATTTTCTTTTAGCTTGACATATCCTTGCTGCACCTACTGCAGAGGACACCTGCTGCTGCTGTTTTACGTAGTGGTACAATCCATACACACCCACTGCCCATCTTCATTCAACCTTTCCCCTTAATCCTGCTGGTGATTTTGAAGTGTGCTGAAGCATTTTGGTGAGTGAGAAGAAAGCATTCTGTCAGACCAAGGCACAGTGCTTTCAAGCCTAATCACTCCACAGGATGAATTTCTGTACTCATAACGAAATAGAAAGTTTCTGAGTTGCTGTGTGAGCTGATGCAGGGGGGCAGCCAGAACAACCCCAAACATCACAGCTAAAATGCAGAGAGGGAATTTATTTCCATTACCTCACTAACCAGTGGGATCAGTAGGTTCCTGAAGCAACACCTGGGCAGAGGCACGTGAGCAGAGTTAAGTTTGGCCCAATATTAGATCATCACAGGCTCACACAGTTCATCCAGGGTTTTGTGCATGCAGAGTTTACCACCATGCTGTGTTTTGATCTTCTCTGTACCAAGGCAGGGAGCTTGGTTTGCAAACCTTCCGTTTTTAGCTCTTTCCCCCCAGCAGTCACTACACTGGTGAGACATGCACACGTACTCAGGGGTGAATAAATCAGGCACAAAGCTGTGCAGGGCAGAGGGCAGCGAGAGCACACTCAAATCCTGGACCATAGAGCAGAACCTCACTGGTACAGACCACAGAGCAGTTGGCTGCAGGTATTGATCTTACACCACCCATTGCTACATCACAGCAGTTTATACTGACTTGGAGCAATTAGAAATGAAGTGTCCTGAGGCAGTGCTGCCAAGGGCCACCACCCTTGGAATGAAGGAATGAAGGCCCCAGCCCCAGGGTGTAACACCGGCAGGTACCAGCCTGAGCTGCTTACACTGGAACACAGGTAAAGATGACCTGAGCTGCACAGGCTCTAGAACAGAAGGGCATCAGGGCATGCCCACGGGAAGCAGCTCCCAAACAGCATGTTGGGGTGCTTTGTGCTCTGTGGCTGGAGATGCTTTAAGAACACACACAAATGCTATGAGGTTCACAAGCTCCGTGGGGCCAGTAGTTATTTCCTCTGCAGAAGAAGTGCAGGTCTGTAAATGTTCCTCTCTTGACAAACACTGAATTTTGGCAAACTGTTTCTTTTTGACCAGATGTGGACTTGTTGTGTTTAACTGTCCTTTGATGTTTCTTCCTGCTTCTTTCCCCCCAGTTTGTTTTTGCCCTGTTTTCTTCAACCACCACCCTGGGCTTGCCCCTCTCTCTTGCCTATTTGCCAGACTGCTCTCCTGCAGGTCACCAACCCTTGCAACACAGCTCTCCTGCACCCTGCAGAGGGCATATCCTCCACAGCCAGAGACTGAGCTCAGCTGCCTTTCCTGGGTATTCCATCAGGGCAATGGGAGGGACTGCTGCAGAAGGCAGCCCTGACTAGAAAATCGTGCCCATGTCACTCTGTTCCTATTAGAGAGCCTCTGCTCAGCAGTGCATTCAGGCACCCCTCAGCCAACATAAATAACTCATGACAGAGCCATCAGCCTCTGAGGGGAACCCCGTGTACACCAGCTGGGGATCAAGGCCTCAGTCTGCCATGTGTGTCCCGAAGTGTGACACACAGGAGGCTCCATCTCTGCAAAAAGGTTGGTAAGTATTTAATAATGAAAGAACATTTGAATAAAACCTCACAGCATCAGCAGCTGGGGAAGAACCCCCTCCCAACCCCCATGACTGGGTGCACACTCAGAGCTTGGTGCTGAACACACCTGGGTTGGCCAAGAGGCACCTCTGCTCAGCCAGTCCAGTCTGGGGAGAAGTCCCTATGGATGGCTGACTCTTTTTCCAAGGAGATTTGAAATTCAAATTTCCTGTCATTAAAAATCATCTTTTCCCCACTGGGGAGATGGTTTAATCCATATTCCAGGAGGTATAACAGCACTTTGCTTGCTGGTTTAATCAGCATAATACTCTTCTCCCTCCTGTCATTACAGTGCTGGGCTCCTCTGATTGTCATTTTGATAATGGTTATCTCATCTCAGCCCAGGAGGGACTGCATTTCAGCAGGGACTGAAGTGAACTGAGCCCCTGAAGAATTATGGGCTGAATTCCCAGTCGTGCCAAGTTTCCCCAAATTGCTAGTGACATCAGCACCACACAGCATGGTGGGTCTCTGCTCTTGGCAGGGTTGAATTCAGACTCAGTGAAAACCCATGAAACACTAAAACTAGCAGAAATAATTCTATAAAGGAACAGAAGTTCTCCCATCTAATAAATAAGGAAAAAAAAATTTGTTTGATTTATTTGATTCTGGATGCAGGAGTCACTTGAGTGGGGAAGAATATCAAAGTCTGTGTTTGACAGAAAAAATCAATTTGCAAAGGGCAATTATCATCATTCTGTTTTGAACTGGAACAATCCTTGGTAAGGCAATATGTGAGGGAAACCAAAAACGTGAGGGTGGGAGGAAGATCAGAGACAAGCAGGATTTCTCCCAGAAATCCCACTGTCCTGATGTGCCATTGGCACTCCAATATAAGATTTCAAAGACATTGCTGCAAAATGTCATTAAAATCTTCAAGGAAGGGATTTAGCAGTAATTAAAAAAATTGATAAGAGATGGCATTTCATGCAGCAGATCACTCTGGGTTTGTAGGTAAAAACTAGTGGAACAAAACAAAGTGTGTGATCACTCAGTATTATAAAAAAAACTCACCATGCTTGGCAAAAGTGACAATTTAGCTCCAATAACTGAGCTATCAAATACAGTTACTGAAGGGGTAATTTGGGTAATTTAAGTCTGCTCTGGGAAAATGAGGATTAGGAAGAGGCATAATTAAAATATGCAAAGCCAGGGGGAATAGAGAATAGATATTAAGTCACTTTAAATTAGCAATTCACGAGAGAGTGGAAGGGAGAGAAATGGATGAATTATGCTCTGAAAGGGCCCTGATATTCCATTGTTGCAGACAGAAAAGCTAATCAGAGCCCGAGCACATCTTATACGTGCACAAAAATTAGACAGAAGGATTTAAGAGCTGTATTTTGTCACAAAAGTGCGTTTTTCAGCCTGGCAGGGCTCTGCCATCTCAAGTGCCCATCTACCTTGCAAATTCCTCTGCTTCCAGGCACCGTAACGGGGCCGCCCGTACCCGAAGGCTGAACTCCTGTTCTTGACCTGCTGGCTCCTGCTGTCGCCCGAGGTGCTGGAATCTGTTTGCTCTTTCCTGTGGCGCTTGATGATGTCATCTAGAATGAAATGACAGAGGAGAATTCCATAGAACCTGCACTTTCTACAAACAGGGATTCCCTCTTTTGGTGCTTGCAATTGTCCGTGCTAAAAACGGAGCTCGCTGCTCTGTGAGCTGCACCGGCCAGACAATAAAAGATTAAGCTTAGCTTAGAAAGTATAGGATCAATTTACTCAGCCTTTGCAGGCTGGAGATTAGAGTATAGCAAATGATTTAAAAATGTGCTACCATGCAGCACATCCCCACCACAGGCAGGACAGAGCTCTCAGTGAGGTGGTCTGAAAGCAAGGGGTTCTTCTTAATTCAAGCTGTTCTGATGAAAAGGCAAGGCAAAAGTGGAACATCACCTCTTCATTAACTCCTACTTTCCAACAATTTCTTCTTTTAACCTCAAACCTTCCAGAAAATACTTAGCAAGTAATAAAGTCACATCTGTGAAGCTCCAAGCTGAATGTTTTAACAAATTAGCAAGGAATGAAGTGTCCAAAAACAGGCCCAGAGTGGCTATTCCAGCTCCTTAATGTATCAGTGGAGTGGAAGGACAGAAGTGCCATTAGCTTTCAGTGGGTGCTTACCACGAACCATCACACCCCCAGCACTTGTCCCTTGTCATTTTCTATCAAGAAACTCTGTGTCCAAATGGATACAAAGCCCAAGGAAAAGGAATGAAAGCAGAAGTAAGAATAGGCTGTGTGACTGCTTTTGTGATTTCTCTCTCAAGTCTGCCAGGAAGAGAGCAGGCTGGGAGAGGCCAGGCCATGCTTTTAGGATGAATGCACTAATGGTCTCAGCTAAGTGTGCCTTCAGGACATGTGTGATTTGGGGCACAGGCTGATCTGAAGCACATCAACAGCATCCCAGCACACTGTGCAGGGAGGTGACCCCAGGCACCCAAGGGTGGGCTGTCACAGCATGAGGAAGAGCTTGCTGGGAGCCAAGAGGAGCTGAAAGCTCAGGTGCCTGGTCTGTCACCTTTTTTTTGTTTAGGTATGAGTTCTTACCCTGCCTTTTGTGGCCACGAATATGATGGAGTTAACAGAGCGATGTAATGGACTACTATGAAAGGCTGGAAGGGGTCCTGAGAGGCAATTTATGGTACACCTAAACCTCGAGGCAGAATTAGATCTATCAGGGCAGCTTTAGAGCAACTCCTGTAGTTTTTTGGGACTGCTAACTCCAGTAAGGCCAAATGTATCTGAAAGCATGGAAAAAGCACCTGTCAGAAAAAGTTCTTCATCAGGACTCTTGCCTTTCAATTCTCTCTTCTACCCTGAGTAAGCTGTATTCTGGAAGGAATATGGATTTGGACCACAGGAGGTCTGACCAAGGGAAGCACTAAGGGGGAGCAAAAGCAAAGGGACCATCACAAAATTTTTTGTTAAAAAAAAAATTATTAGCAAAAAGAAAAAGGGTGTGCAATACCATGGGAGAAAAATAAACCAAAAATGAGGGAACCACTGTTGCTATAACTCTTCACAGAACCATTAAAACACGGGTGCATCAGCCAAGGGATCAGTTTGAGTTTGCAGTGGAAAATGTTCTGCTGTTCCTGACAAATGGCTCGTTGCTGGGAAGAAATGACACAAGGTTTCAGTTAGGAAGCTGACCCAACAGCAAAAGGTGCTGGTGGACTTTCCTCCCACAGCAGAGAACGCCAACACGATAATCCACCAAGATCTCTCGTCCATGCGTCAGAATCCAGGCCTCGGGAGTTCATGACAGGGCGGTTGTTTATGCACAGTTCACATTCCCGGTGCCAAAGGAATGGCGAGCATCGGAGCGAGCAGCTATAAATAGCGGCACGGCGAGGACATGGCTCCTCTCCTCCTGCCACCGGGGGCTGCTCTGCGGGAGCCCCTCCCGGCCCGCTCCGTCCCCCCCAGCACAGTCCGGAGAGGGGTTCCGGGGATCCCGCACACACCTTCTCCGTCCCGCCAGGGCCATCCGGGCAGGGGGACGCGGGCAGCGAACAGGCCTCTGCCCGCCCGCCCATCCCGCACAACCACCCGCCGTGTCCCCGCACGGAGCCCCCATCCCCCGAGCTCCCCAGCCCGGCCCGGGCAGGGCCCCCGCGCCCCCCGCACCTACCAGGGACATGTCGATCCTCGCCCCCGGCTGCGGCCCCGCGGGGGCCGCGGCGGGGGAGCGGCCCCGCCCTCCATGGGCTCGGAGCGCCTGAGCTTTCGCCCGCGCACTGCGCCTGCCCGGAATGTGCCGCCCGCGGCCCCGAAGCGGCCCGCCGGCTCCTCGGCCCCGCACCGCCCACTCGGCCCCCGCCCCCGTGTCCCCCGCCGCCTCCCTCGCCCGCGCTGCTCGGCCGGCCTGCCGCCCGCCCTCCTCCCTCCGCCTCCTCGCGGCTCGCTGCTCAGCCCTCCTGGCTTCTGCCCCGCGCCCCCGCCGCACCCCCCCTCTATTAAGCACCGTTTTCCAGCCGCCGGGCTTTTCTCCTTTCCTCTTTTCCCTTTCTGCCCCCGAACCCTTCCCCTCTGGGGTGTATGCAAGAGCAGATGTATCTTAAACGTTATTTAAGCAGTTATTTCTGAGGGATGTGAACGACGGAATGACCTCGCCTCATTCTGAAGATAAGAAAAACAAGGCGACTCTCTGCAAACAAAGATACTCTTGGCTCCTATTCGTGCGTGAAGTATGTTCTCTGTGTTTGTGAGCGCCTCGAGGAGGAAGCACCCGTTCGGAATTGGTCTTCCACGAAAGTCAGATTCTTCAGGGGATCTTTCAGTCTCTGCGTCACGTTGGTTGTGGCACCAGGGCTATTCTGCAGTTTGAATACAAACTGTGAGCTAAACCATCTACCTCTACTTTTAAAGCCAGATGAAAAAGAAAAAAGAGACGGGGGAAACAATCCCTGCTCTTCCAAAGGGCTGCTGCCAATCAAGTGAAGAGCACGCTTTTTTCTGAAGTTTCCATGTGGTAAATGCTCTGAAATAATCTCCCACACTACATACGTAATAGGGGCCAAATAAATCTTGAACCATGGCCTGATGTTTAAAGTTTTCAAGACAGTTTCTTTTTCCCAGCTTGCACTTCAAATAGGAGAAAAATTTCTACACGCAGATCAATCAGGGCAGAGAACCTCCTGGTATGTGTACAGCTCTTAGCACGATCAAGTGCTCCTGAAAGTGTTGGTTTAGGGAAGTGTTCTTTCATGAAAGAACAGAACAGTGTTGAGAGAGCAACAAATAACCTTTGCTGTCTTTTGCAGTGACACTGCAGAATGATCATTAAAGCAGTTTAATGTGAAATGTCAGAATCCAGGGTCATGATCCTGCAATCAATTTTGCAATGTTCTGTGTATGCAAGGTGTGCTGGGGGTGCTGTACTCTCTGGGGAGCCCTGGCTCTAATCCCCCCTAGTCCGAGAGCTTTCCTCCAAAGAGCATCCTTAAAATTTCTGAGCAATTTAGCCAGAGCAGCCAGGGAAGTTGTGGCTGCTGGGAAAGGGCTGGAAGTATCCATGTAAACCCAGCCTTTAGCAACAGACTGTGAGAGGAGGTTGATAGTGGTGTCGTTTTCTAGCACTTACTAAGGAGGGTGTAGGAGGAAGGCTCTGGGCAGTGTCCTGAGCTGTGAAGCAACAGCTGCCAGGAGCTAGGAGGGAAGGACTGCAGGAGGGGTCTGGAGTCTTCTCTGAGTACAGCTCAGCCCTGCACTGAATGACCCAGGTTTCCTCGGGGGGCAGCAGCTGGAGTTGGTCGTGCTGTGGGACAGTGAAAGGTTTCGTGGTTTTCTGCAAAATCCTGCACGCTTGTATCTTCGGAAAACCTGAAAGCAACGGCTCAGAGATTTCCAACAGCGTTTCTATTTGATCACATTTAGTGAAACAAACATTTGAGATCAAAGAAGGGAAAAGGCAGAGTTTAGAAATGCCAACTTCTAAAATATTAGGTATTTTCAAAGCACATTTTTTTCACAGAACTACAATACAGCTTTTGCAACAAATTCTGCTTCACCAGGTGAGAGGTTTCATTAGCTGCTTTCCTTCAAGTGCATAGCATTGAAAGCAGTGATAAAACCTTTCCAAGCCATATTTCTGCATCTGGAAAGTATGAGCTGATATGTATTCTGTTATCTCTCAACTGCCAGTCTGACTCTTAACATCTTGGCAAATGTCCCATTTGCTTAGTATGTCCAAGCACTGCCATTATCTCAGTTCTGAGCAATTTCTCACGTTAACAGTGTAGGTGACACGTGCTGGAGCTGGTGAAAAGGCCTGAAGAGCCAGAACCTCCTCTAAAGCATAATCCCCCTCCACTGGAAAGAACTGCAGGTGTCTGGCAGACAGACTTGGCCCTGCATCCTAAGAAAGGAATGTCAGGAATGTGACTTGCACAGTGGAAAGGTAGGATTAGTAAAAGAACAATGAGAAAAGTAAAGAAAATTGCACTTTCCTGTAGAACTGGTTTGTGTTGACTCACTGATACTGTGGCAACAAGCCTCAAGCTGAGCCTTCAGAGAACACTGGGGCATCTCTGCCAAAGGTGCCAGGTATTCCTTCCCCTTGTTAGGCACAGGCATAACCAAGTTGTTCACAAAGAGCAAGTGTTAATTAGGGTCACTGGGCCTTTCAATTTATCAGATGCTCTTCTCGTCACATAATGAAACCCTAAGGAACCCTAGAAGGCTTTTAGCTGAAACTAAATAAAAATAGAACTCAGTGGGAGAAGGGAACACCTGTCAGCAATCCAACACTTGTATCATCTGAAATGTTTTCTTAGCCTCTCAATAGATTTAGTTAATCTTCGACATGTTAAATAACTTGTGATGATTTGTGGTTGCGATAAATCTTACACCATGATCTAAAAATTAACCACTGGCCACTTTGTCTGTTGTTCCCAGGGGTACCTCATATCACAGTTATTCAATGCAAAATTGCAAAATATATGACCATTCTCTTTCAGGGAAATGCACCCATGACTTGATTGCTAATAAATGCTTTTTCTTGGAAAATAAGGCTGGGTGGCTGTAGGAATATGTATCAGTGGAAGATTAGCATCTGCATGTACACATCTGTATCTGAGGGTATGGAAGCTCTCCAGCCTCTCCCAGACTTGCTCAAAGCATAAACAAGCATTTATTTTAACGGGCCCAAACTGTGATCGCTTCTGTGACACTCTGGATTTTGCCCACAAGGGGGGTGTTTAGGCCTTTTCGTTCGTGAGAACCACAGGACCATCAGCTCTTCACAAGGCACACTGGTAGCAGTACAGCTTGGATAGCTTGCTCCAAAACTGGTGAACCACCACTAAAAAGAACTTGGGTTTTATTGTTAGATGCTGAACGTGGCCTTAGAACCATATGTCACCACTTGAAAATCATCTTCTCGAGAAGATGGAAGAGAACAAAGCTCTTCTTCAGGTTTTCTGAAGAAAAGTATTTATTTTACCAATTCCCAGAATGATAATTCAGTTTTTATGCAGAAGTTCTGACTGGATGGTATAAAGTGGCTGAGGTGCACACGTCCTCAAGCTCTGCTCAGGGAAAACAACTGCTCAACCACAGATAATGACAAATTCCATGCTTGGCTTCTTACACATTTAGCACATGCAGCCTGCCTACAGTAAAACTGCAAGGTATTTAAAGTGGTGTTGGCTTTTTCTCCCCCTCTGTCTCTCTGTATGTGTATTAAAATTGCAATCTCATGGGAAACTACTCTTATGATACCCATAAACTGTACCTCTGGACTGTGCAGAAAGTCCCCAAAGTCATCCCATAAAAAACCATGTGCACAGGATGACAGGGAGTTGGTAGCTTCAGTGCAATCTGTAAATATAACCGGTAAATGAAGATCCACAGATACACCACATGCTGCTTGCTGTCATGGAGTAGTTCCAGTTTATGCTGCTTTTAGGGCTCTCTCAATATTAAACTTTCATTGAAAGGGCTACATTTCTAATCTCACAAAAAAACAAGTAAGGCAAGTATGGTACTGCACAGCAAACAAGTTATTCAAAATGGAATAAATGGACAAATCCTGTCTGAAATCAGACCAGAATGATCCAGTAAAGGACAAAGGCCTCTGCAGCACCACAAGGAGGTATTTCCAGTGCATGTAGTTGGCATAGGTGGTGCTTGAAATGATATGCTTGAGGGGAGGTGCTGCCCTCCCCCCTGCCTTCAGAACTGTATTTTCTGGTGCTCAGGGAAGCATTGCTAGCTATACAGTGAATAGATGCTTCCAGTGGGAAAGGTACCAGGAATCTTCCCATTAATGGATCTCATCTCTTGTTGTGGTCTGTACAAACAGACTGTTAAGAACAGATATTGCTCTCCAAAGCAGCTAAAGAGAATTCTGCTTGCTTCTTTTCTATTCAAGCATCAGAAGCTGGAGTATTTTGAGCTATTTCTAGCTCTTTAAAATTTCAGATAAATGACTGCCCTTTAGCATGGACAGAGGGTCATTTGCCTTTTAACCTAATTAGGATTATATGTATAGTTTGCTTGCTTTGCTTTCAAAGTGAGCCAAATGATGCCACTTTAGTATGAATCTTGAATCCGGGTATTTGGAGATTATGTTAACTGCCTGTGGGAAGCTGTGGACACTTGCAGGTCTTGAAGAAAAAAAAGCTGTATCCATGAGGAATAGAGCATGCACTGAAATGCAAAGTAAGTGTAAAGGAATTGAAGAGGCATTAAGGAGGTGGCACCAGGATCATGGGAGTGTTGAAGTAACAGTAACTGTGTTATCTCAGTGCCTCACCCACGGAGAGGACTGAGGCTACTCATAAAGAAGCATAGCAAGAACAGCAGGAAAGCTCTGGAGTTTAATTGCTAAAAGCAAGAAAATCTCCGGAGGATGCAAAAAAAGGTCAGTGCTGACATCTCAGGAGGATTTAATTTCTCAAAGCAAATGGCAATCTAGATTGAAAAAGACTGGCTGTGTGTTCAGCTTGAGTACTTAACTCAGGAACACCGAAAGCTTCAGGGGTCTCTGTGCTTTTGACAATCCCTGTTGCTTGGCCTCAGGTGCCCAGAGCTCCTGTTGCCTGGCAGAGGCCTGCAGGCACTGCAGGGGTGTCGAGGGAGCATCACACTGCACAACACCCTGGGCAGGACCTCAGCTGTGTCACTGTGTGCTGCTGTCCTTCCCTTGTGCCCTGCCCTGGCCTGGGACACAGCCTGCAGCACACACTGCAGGGTGTCAAAGGAAACGGGGAGAGAGCAGGGACTCCACTCTCGCTTTCCCTCCTGTCACAATGAATATTACACTGACACTGCCAGTACAGATTGGCCTTGTGTGGCTCTCTCCAGAAGGCAGTGCTCTGGGGACGTTTGGAGCTGTGAGCAATGATGCTGAGCAGGGCTGACAAGAGCTGTGGGAGCAGCACAGGCAGAGCAGCAGGATGGGCACGCAGCTCTCACTCACACTTGCTCTGAGCATGGCTTGGGTCAACTGTCCTTGCAAGACTTGTGAGCAACCACATCTTGCACTCCATGTGGGAAGTTAGATAGATCAAAGCCTGATCTAGATCTCATTCCTCTAGGCATTAACATGAGCTGTAAAAGCCGGCTGGTGTCATATCTTTATGACTTTTTATCTCGTCTGGAACAGATATGGGTAACCACAAAGACTTTCAGACTTGAAGCTCTTCATGGAAGCGTGGGATTTGCAGAAATCTTCAAACTCCTGAAACATCAGCTCTGCCTGGCATGGGACCAAGAAAATATCTTTGTCTTGTGTAGTCTCATGACAACATCTGAGCATTTCCACCTCTTCTTGTATGCACCTTAACTGCCAAAACAAATAAGAAAATGCAACCATCTCTGTTTTATAGGAGAAACTGAGGGATGACACAGCTCTACCTTACTGTTTATTATGTCAGGAAGGTTGTTTTGGGAAGCCTTCTGGCCCTAGACTAGTGACTCTGGTTTTACTTGTGGAATTACAAAGAAGGGGGGACATGGGGAGAAAGAACTGTTGAAAGGCTGTGAAATCCAGCATAAATAAAAGTAATTAGATTTTAGTGCTCCAGACATCTGTTCTGATTCTGCAGCTATTGGAGGTGATAAATGACCCCCACAGGTAAATCTGCTCCACCACAGGAACGTGCAATCAGTTTTCAAGCTTTTGCCCCAGTGAGCAGCAATTTGCTCGAGACAGTTTGCAAATTGGGGATTTTTGGTTAAGAAAAGCCTCAGACATTGCTCCCAGCCTGTTGTAGGGGACACTCCAGTGCCTTTGAAGATGTGAGCATGTGTCTGAGCAAAGTGAGCGAGCTGGGTTTGCTCCTCAGTAGGAGCACCTGCAGGCACAGCGAGCATTTGGTTAAGGATAAAAAGGCCCCCTCGTACGTGAGAACTCCGGCGTGACAAAATGGTGTTTTGAGTCTTCTTCTGACAATTTGTCAGGCCTATTTCATCCAGAGAGAGCTGAGCCCCTTTCTCTGTCTAACTTGGGCTCTGAACAGCAAGCGGCTGAGTGATGTGGCTGAGAGGGAGGACAGCAAATCTGCAGCTCTGAGCTGGCCCCGTGCCAAGACACCTGCTTTGGAAACTCAGAGCAACTAGTTCTAACATTTAGTAGAATTTAGATGCTGGAGCTGGTCCTGGCTGCTGCTCTGCCTCACTCCTGCCAGCTGCAGAGGCACTGTACCTCCTGCTCCACGTCTGCAGGCAAAATCATCCTACACACTTGGCCCGACACCAGTCTGGGTTTATTCACCCTCCACCCTCTCTGGCTGGAATCTCAACCGAGGGCAGCACTCAGCAGTGTTTATAGAGGTTTGTCTGATTTTCTTGCTGTGAACCCAAGGAACAATCAGCTTTTTCAGGGCAAGAGCAGGAGCTCTGGCCCAGGCAGACTGATTGGTAGATGGTCATCTGTAAGCTTGAATCCCACAGCCCCTACAAGTAGCCAAGGTTAGAGGAAGCAGAAAGCCACAGTATTTGCAGGTGACAATGGGAGCCCTTTCCCCACCACAAGTGCATTTTGCACATAGGCCTTGTTGTTGGAAGGGGAATCTGTTTGCTGGGACATGGTGATCCCAAAGTCCATCCAACACTGCATCGAAGGATTGAACCCTTCACTCTTTAGTACCTTCTTACTGATCCTGGCTCATTTAGTTCTACTGAATTTCAGCCAGAGATCACCCAACACAGTATTTCAGGGCTGTTCCTCTTTCAACTGATAATGGCTCAGCTGTCTCTCAGTGACATGTTGCTGACTGAAGGGCAATCTCTTCCATGCTGCTTATAGACAGAATTTCCCTTAGATCCCCAAATTAGGCATGATGTATGCATGCAAAAAACCAAACCCCCAAAACAATTTAAGAATTCAGGACCTTCAGGAGGATCAAAGCATAAAGGCAGATTCTGCTTATCAAATCCACAACAATTCCATTAGAAAGTGGGTCTATGAGCCTTTCTGTAGCATTTCCTAATCATGCTTCGAGAGTAATTTTTCACAGATAAGTATGTAGACCTAACACGTACAGATTACATGGTAACAAAGGCAATTATCCATCCATATG